AATAGTTCCATCTCTGGGGGGGGGGTGATTTCATGTATGGCTGAGCAAGGGAGGTAGGAGTTGAGAAATTCTGTGTTCTGAGCTTCACTTCGCCCCAGGAATTTTGTCCCTGTGGAGGACCATAGATGTCAGCAACTTAGGCATTCCAGAATGTGAATGAGAGAATGAGCAATCTTTTTCTTGAGAAATCTTTTGCCTGTGATGAAGTGAATGGTACAGTGTCTCTTCTAACCTGTCCACAAAATCTTCTTGCCCACAGTGCTTTATTTGAAACACAGGCAAGAGGTAAATTCCATTTAAATTAGCATTGAGGTAATTTCCTCCAAAGTTTCACTCATTTCTCTAAACAAGTGGAATTGTGTTGTACCCTCTAAGTCATTCTGCCTTGCTGAGGTGGGACTTGGGACAAGGTGGGAACCTGGTACCACGCAGAGCTCATGTTTCTGGAGAACGTTACAGGCTGCCGAACCACGCTACTGGCTTGCGTGGGATGGAAGACCTTACCCTTCTTCTTCGTTTGTTTTTTGACATAGGTAAGCAAGTTTTTATTGACCTCCCAGTTTTTTAAAAAAGTAAATTTGAGGTCATATCCCTCAAGTTTGATGTATATCCACAGATCCTGCAGGATGAGTATGAAGAGATGCAAATTAGTCCATGCCCAAAAAGATGTACTGGAATACAGAACCATCTTCATAAACGCATGTAAAGTTCTTCTAAGGATAAAAAGGGCTGCATGGTTTTTCTAGGACACTTTCCAAAGTGATTCCAGGCACGAATCACATACCCCTGCATGGACACCTGCATTCTAGGTCTTGTACCCCTGTCACAGCCCACCAGTGTCAGACCTCATAGCTGCGACAAAGCTAAAGCTGTTGAATGGGACTCTGTTCCTTAGGTGGAAAAGCACAGACCTATGAACAACAAATAGACAATTTCTCCAAATACATGCACTTTATTCTAAAAAACAAGCAAACAAACAACAACTATAAAAAGACTGGTGTGAATCCAAAAGTTTGAAGGGCTTCCATTGTGGATCAGTCAATTAAGAACCTATGGAAGTTTGTTCCCCAAAGCTAACACATCTCTTGTCTGTACGAAGGAAAATGAATTCTAAAAATTAACCTGGTTTTTCAGTACTCCAAATATCACTGTTATATAAAAACCTAGAGAGACATAATATCCAGTAACTTTAAAAAATAAGCTAAGAGACTTTGCTGTAATCCATTTTGCCCCTGTTGGCCAGGCCAGTTTGATACACACTCTGTGATTTCTTGCAAAATTTCAGGTAAGGGGCAGTGTTCATTCCCAGTTTATTTATTTAGTTCTTATCCCACAACTCTATGAACTAGGCCAAATGAGGATCTTTAGGCTCCTTACACACACTGGGCAAGATTTTAAAGAGGTGCCCTGTGCGACATCTGCCTCAGTCTCACGTTGGTCACATAAGAACTGTGTCCTGCAGCGTAAGCCTCCATGTCCCAGCCAGACTGGGGAGGAATGGATGTGCGTGACCCATCATAAATATCTCCTGGTTTTGAAGGACGAGCTGAGCACACGCGCTGTCTGTGACAGGTGCCCGTCCCCTGTTGTGGAGTGTTGGTAGACACTTTCCAGGGGGATTTTCCAGCAGTCAGCAAACACGGGGTCCTGGACACCAGGCTCAGCCGTGACTCATGCAGGGGGCTGGGGGCTTTTAGGCAAATCAGACAAGCTCTTAGGAAGCATCGCCGGGCGGGGGCGAGGACAGCTGAATTAGCCTGAGCTCCCAGAGCGCCCCTGAGTGCCCCCCAGCCCTGATGATTTCCACTCGGTGCCCGGCGCCCACTGAGACTGACTTTTTATCCCCCCCCCCCCACGGGGTCCTCTCTGCAGGGAGAGTTTCAATCGATCCATCCGACTCGAAGGGTTTTAGAATCGTGGTCCCCACTGTGTTTGTCACTCCTTCTCCTCACGTGGAGAGAAGAGCACAGCACAGCAGGGCACCACGGCGCAAGACAGGGTGGGGAGAGCTGGAGTCGGTGCTGCCTTTGGGACAGACGCAGTCCTCCCAAGCACATCTGCTGTTGGGAGTGTGCACCGCGACTGGGGGTGATGTCACCCCCAACAGGTGGATCAGTCAGAGAAATCTGCAGAGGCAATTGACACTTACTTGGTGCATTTTCTCGTGGACTGAGCCCAAAGTGTGCATTTCTCAGCTAGCTCCATCCTGTCCCTCTGAGGCCCGCTCCGTGCCGTAGCACCACATGGCCCAGAATGTCCCGGAGACTCTACAGGAGGGGGAAGAGCATGGTACAGACATAAGTCCAGAAAGTTCCTTCTGCTCTGTCCCACACCACTGCATCATCGAGACCACTGGTGGTGACACCCAGGTCAGTCCCAGTCAGTACACACTGTGAAGCCACGCCCTGGGGCCGGCCCTGCACTGTGACCTTTGAGAAGGTTGGGTGTCCCTGGCTCCTGTTCACAGAAGACCTGTCTTACATGTTAGAGTTCTGTTTAAGCTTATTGTGCTATCTGCTTAAAGCCCTCCGAGTTTGCAAACCACTATTCCAGGCAACTCTCTTGTGTGAAATCAAAGTTACCACATGGTTCCTACAAGGCGTGACTGAGAACTGTGGTGATCGCTAAAATTGTTAAACATATTAGAGTAAAAGACACACTGGCAAGAATCCCCCGGGTCTTCCCTCCCTCCGAGCACTCGACCCCCTCATTGGCACGGTGTTGCGCAGTGGCTGGGGAGTCCTCTTCCCGGAAGTCCAGCGGTACTGTCCTGGCTGCCTCCATGTCCTGAGCAGATTCAGAACATTTCCTTTTCGTTCACTGTGACTTTGGGAGGAGCCAGAGCCCATACTGTCAGATTTGGTGAGTGAGGAGGAGGACACAGCGTTGGGTCTCTGGGCGCCTGCCTCTCTTCGGACAGCACTTGGAGCAGCGTTCACCTTAGTTATGGTCACAGTCCCTGAGGACATTCATGAGCAAGGGCTCTGTATCTGATTTAAAAGGTGGTGGGAACGATAGGAATAAGGGTGCTCGGATTGAGGAGGTGTTTTCAAGGGGGATTTGTGGCAATGTGTCTTTTACAGTAATAAGTGTTCTTCCGGTTTAACCTTTCCCTGTACATTCTGATCACACCACACAGACCTCCCAGGGTGGCCACTGGAGAAACCTCCCCAGGTATTTTCCTCAATTATGGCTGATGTGAGAAATAACACTAAAACACTGAGCGGAAGGTCTTCTATTCAGGGCAGTGAAAACCATACTGATTCAATGACATTTCCAAGGTTTTAGTGTAACTTGAGCACTTTCAATCAATGTCTCTCTGGCCTTTTGTTTTTCCTTGGGAAATTTTTATAATCCTACCCCATCTTTAACTATTCATCTTGTATTGGCTACCCAAATATACCCAATAATGCTCTCTCTGAAAATATGCCAGTTGCACTAATTACAGCTAAGCTGGAATAGTAAATGGTGGCGTCTGGTCCTAGCAAAAGCGGTGCTATTCCCCAAAGCCTGGCCTTGGTGCCGGGGCAGCTTCTATTTTAAAGGTTCTGGTAAAAGCTGTTTCATATACTGGGAATGATCTCACTGGTCTTGCCAGTCTTCTAAGATGTTGGTGTTACTCTTGTAGGAAGTTTATTCAAACCAGTGAAGAGATTTCACGCCACACCTGGTGCTGTTTTCTGGACATTTGAACGTTTTCTTTGTCTTTTACACATTCCCAAGCCTGGGTCTGTCTATCTGGGATGATCGCTTTGTCTGTAAGCAGGTTCCCATCCTTCTTTGGGTTTCTGCTAGGATGTCGGTCCAAGCTGATCTTCTACAGATAGCTGTAATGAGCTGGTTTACATCAGTTGCAGTCCTCACTGTCTCTGCCTTACGTGTGTGTGTCCCATCACTCGAGTTAGCTCCAGAAGGACAGAAGCTGTGACAGTTTCAACTTCTGCAAAGGGAGCATTTTCTACCAGGGTGTCTTCCCAACAGTGGACTCCGGGGTGTGGGTGAGCGGTCCCCATCCTGACTTCATTTTGCTCCAGTCCTAGTACAGATGGTGTCTGGTAAAACCCAGTTTTCTTCAGCAAATCTCACTTTTTGCAGGATAAGCAACCACCTTGTGGATATGTTTGTTTCTGGAAAAGTCATTTTAGGGATTCTTCACATATAGAAAGGGGAGACCTCCCTCAGTAGGGAGCTCATCTCTCTGCCAGTACAAATAAAACTGGACGGCTGGCAAAGGAGTCCCTGTCTGCTGAAAAGAAAGCGGGCAGATCAGTCCTGTGTCCTAAAAGCAAAACCTGAAAGTGGCTGAGGAAGCCTTGTGGGGAGTAAATGGGAACCCCCTTCCAGGGGGACGTGCATTAAAACATGGAGCGCCTTAAACATACAGGTGCTTTTGAACATCTTGCGGGGGTGGGAGGGGGTTGGGAAATAGTGTCCCCGAGGATGTGTGAGCTAGGAGGGTGAGCACCGCTGTGTTGGTTAATCAGCAAAGGACAGGAAGCAGTTACAGGCTTCCTGTAATGTGTAAGGAAGACTTAAATAAAGCTGTGTTTACCCCGAGCAAACAGAATTGTGGAGGTATGGTCCCTGGCTTAGAATAAAGTGTGTAGAAATATCTGAAAACTAATGTGAAAACCAAAGGATATCTCCACACATTACCCACAACACAGAAGTGTGTGTGTGTGTGTGTGTGTGTGTGTGCGTGTGCCCGTGCATGTACACACTCACCCTGTGAGTTTAGTGTCACGACTTTGGGAGTGCAGGTGATTTTCTCCTTTCCTCCTTTTGCTCATCGGTGTTCTCCCAAGTCTGGTGTTTGGAAGGGGTCACTGAGAAGCAATTACAGGACGACAAACCAGTGTTCTTTCCACTGGGAAGCTTCCCCTCAGGCCAGTGACCACTTCCCCATGCAGCCTCTTGGGCCAGCTCGGCAGGGCCTGGACCATGGGCTTCCACGTGGGGAACAGCGACAGCCAGCCCTCAAGTCCCACTTCTCTCCTCAGGGAAGGACAGCCCTCCGGTCAGCGACACTCCAGATGATGGTGATGAGCCCATGCCTGTCCCTGAGGACCTTTCCACCAGCTCTGGGGGACAGAACTCCAAGGGCGAGAGAGGAGTGGGTAAGTGGAGCTTCCTGCTGTCCCTCTGCTCTGCCCAGTGAGACCACTGTGTCCCTCTGTGTCTTTGCGAGACAGTGGGTAAGAAGAGGAGTCCGTGTATCTGCTGCTCTCCTTCATGTCAAGGAAATAGAGGCCAGAGATGGGGAGGGGCATGGCATGGTCATGCACAGCTGTAACCCCAGCTACACAAGAGGCTGAGGCAGGAAGGTTGCATGTTCAAGGCCAGCCTGGGCAACTTAGCGAGAGCCTGTCTCAAAATAAAAAGGGATGAGGATATAGCTCAGTGCTCCCTCAGTTCAATCCCCAGTACCATCAAGGGAAAACAAAGAAAGAGAGGAGGATAATTAAGAGTCGACATGGCATGGGCCTCCCTGCCCCATGCCAGCAGGCAGCAGGTGTGAAGACCATGTCCCCAAAGGAGCTCGGTCCCATCACTGTCTCCTGTCCTTGGTGCATCTGAGGGAAGCTGTATTTTATGGACACAAATGGTGGAAAGCACACATTTTATGTGTAATATCAACAGGACTCTTTCTCTAGAGTTTTGTTTTAAAAAGAGCTCTTCTTAATCCCAGATCTTGAGATTGAACCCAGGGCCTTTGCATTGAACTGTACCCTCATTCCTCCCTTTTTTGCTTATTTGCTTCTGAGGCAGGGACTCCCTAAGTTGGCCAGGTAGGACTGGAACTGGGGAAGTGCTGGGGTCACAGGTGGGCACCACCACCCCATCCAGTCAGTCCCTGTCTCTCAAGTGTATGTGTTCACTGGAAAAACCAGGTGATACATGTGAACTATTAAAGTATGGCCTGGGCTGCCTGAGTCAGGCACAGTTGCCTCCAGTCTCCAAAGCACCATCCCACTGGGAAGTCACACCCATACCTGCCTAGGCCATGCAGAGAAAGCTTCGCCTTCCTTTCCACTACCAGAAAGCGAAAGCCCAGAGAAACGTCACCAGCGTCAGATGGTGAGGTCCACATTAAGCTCAGTTTCTGACTCCAGGCCCAGTGTTCACCCCTTTGCTACATTCTCCTAAGCAGGGGCCGTGGGCACCTGGGCAGGGCACTGAGCACCTGCTTACACAGTGGCCGTCAGGAAGGACATGCAGATCCCTGCAGGCAGAAGGGACAGGGTGGGTTCAGACAGCATTCCTACCAGCTACTCTGTCTGTAGGATGTCCTGGCGCGTCATTGACACAGCTCCCACACGCTTCTACATCTTAGAAACAGAGTCCCATCAGACACAGTGACTTCAGCTGTGCAGTTAGCGGCACCAGCAGTTGGACAGTGGCTGAAGCCATCTGGAGTAGATGGGTCCCAAGGTCACCCATGAAAACTTGGTCCCTAGTGGGAAGTACTGCTGTTCGTAGGAAGAGAAGGAGGCCTGGGCCTGTCCCTCTGTCTTGTGCAGGACAGCCTCAGGGTTTCCCTGTGTGGGGATTGGGTGACACAGATGAACTGCTCTGTCATCATGGGTACATTTGTCTTTGAGACGGCCCCTGGGTGCTGTCAGGTGGCCCTGCTGGTACCCTAGGCTGCACTGCATGTGCCTCCTTTTGAGATGAGGGTCTATGTAAATTACGAGGTCAACGTAAATAACAGCATGCAGCCAGAGAGAGTGTGCATACTCTGGGGTTGGCACAGGCAGCACTTGGCTAGCTAAGGGGGTGCCTGGTTACCCCATCTGTTTAGTGCCTGAGGGCCCCACCTAATATAGACACAGCAGACCCACAACTTGCCTGAGATGTTTGTGGGGAAGCAGGGCCCAGGGCCAGGAGCCCAAGAGATCACCCACTGGCCACGTCCTGTCCTGAGAGCCAGACTTCCTGTCGGATAGGGAAAGTGGCGGCCCTGCCCTGAAATCCCAGCAGCATGGAGCCCGCAGCACCCCACAGTGTGGGCATCCTTTGGGGAACTGCAAGTCAGGCCAATTCCTGGAGAGGGGAGAGAGAAGAGGGCACAGCGCCCTTAGTCTGAATTCATCCTTGTCATGAATGCCTGACAAATGTGCTCACTGCCTCCTGGGAGAATCGCCACCTTCCAGGTGCTGGCTGGGCACTGGACGTGTCTCCTTTGTCCTGCGGGTTGGTGGTGGTGGTGGGGACCCATGGCTGTTTCCTGGGGGTGCTTCTTCTTGTCCCTTACTAAGTGTAAACTGGGTATTCAGTCCCCAGGTCCTTCCTGGGTCATCTAGAAAGTAGGAAATTCAGAGTTGGGGGATTTAAAAGCAATCTTGTGCCTCCATTGGTGGTAGCAGTTGACCTAGCCCAGGGGACAGGTGGGGAAAGTGAAACATCAAAGCAGGCCCTGAAACCCTGAGGAGGATGAGGCCATTTCAGGAGGCTAGACAACAAGGATCCATCACTCTGGACAAGACAGGGGCAGTGGGGAGAGGAAGCTAGAGGCGACAGCGAGGAGCCCAGGTGACCTGATGCCCACAGCAGACTTTGTTGGAGAAGCCAAGCTGTCCACTGTAGCTCTTGAGAAAAATCCTCGTGCTTGTAGGTTGTTTGTTATAGTAACTGACAGCGTAGCAGGAGCTGAATGGAGCAATCGGACAACAGGAGGAAGCAACCCTCACACATGGGTGGAGGAGGCGTGGCTCAGAGGAAGAGCGCTCGTCTGCATGTGTGAGGCCCTGGGTGCAACCCCAGCCCTAGGACAATAAAACAACATGTAGGGAGTGAAGGGATGTATCCCAGCATCCCACAGGAGTGGAAGGAGAGAAGGCAGGAGCCTCAAATCCCCCACCCCAGAGAAGCGTGAGGCAGCAGAGGAGGAGGAGCCCTGAGACGCAGGGAGGCCCAGGCTGCTGGGCTGGAAGGGCCCAGCGAGCACCTGAGGAGGCTGGGTCAAGACCCTTCGCCCTGCCCTTAAGGCTCAGGCTAAAGCTTTGCTGGCCTGAGAATCAGTGCGCGGTAGTAGGAAGGGGCAGGGACAGCAGTAATCAGGCATGTGTCCCAGGATGACTCTAGGTTAGATGAGGGACGTGGTAGAGCTGGCAAAGACAGGAACAGAATGCCACTTGTAGTACTCGGAAGGTTTACGGTAGACCAGAAGACTACAGGCAGCTGTTCGGACTCCAGCTGAGAGAAAACAGGACACTTTGCAGCTCTGAGGACAGAAGAGGAGGGGGAATGTTGTAAATGCATGAAACAAGCAGACTGGGAAGAGCTGGAAGAGATGGGAGGGATCAGGGAGACTAGAGCGAAAATCACGGAGAGATGGGGTGACCTACAGACACAGTCCAGTCCAAGATGGAGCCCAGGGAGCTGGCTCCTTGCAGGCATCTCGGGGAGCATGGAGACAGGTGAAGACTGGGCTGTCTGAGGCGGCAGGGACAGAGCCTGCTTCTGAGCAGCCGGACACAGGGTCACCCGGAGATGCTGTGCAGATTCAGAGGAAGAGACCATTGGTTCCTGGGAGAAAGGGGACGGACGCATCCCCAACCAGTGCTGTGTGCAGTGTAAGAGGGACAGGAGCTCTGCCCCCAGACTCAGGGGGCCCGGTGATGGCCAGGAGGCCCAGCCCCGTTGCTATCCTGCCCGAATAAGAAGAAACAGATTCAGTGTGTAGCTGGAAGATTTAGGTGGACACGGGAGTGGGCTCTGGGGAAGGAGCGACTTGGTCATCACCTCAGTCTCCTTCACGGACGCTCGCTTGTGGTTCTGAGGCCATCTCTTTAGCAATGAGAGAACTCTGGGCTCTCTGGAGTAGCTGTGACTGGAGGTGCTGGCTCCCACTCCACCCTTAGCATACGTGCTCAGGACAAGAGAAGGGGAGATGCAGACACCCCAAGGCATCTTCACCAAGCACTCCTTAAAGTCTTTCTTTTGGGAGTTTTTTGATTGGAGTCTAGGGAGCGAATGGGCAAATTTTTTGAAAAACTGACATGCCTGGTGTGGTGGTGTGTGCATGTGAACCCACCACTGGGGAGGCTGAGGCAGGAGGATTGCAAGTTCAGGCCCATTATTAATGAGGTAGCGAAACCCTGCTTCAGAACACAAAATACAGATAGGACTGTGATGCAGCTCGTTTGTGAAGGCCGTGGGTTCCACCCCTGGCCCTGCTCTGGGATGGTGATGGGGGAAGTGGAAAAGACAGAGGACACAGAAGGAGGCTTGGAAACCAAAGGCGAGAGGTGATGGCGCCTGTACCAGCAGCGGGCGGATCCAGGGTTTAGGCAGATGTAGACACTGAGGGAAGACACAGGGGAGAAGCTCTAGGATGGTGCTGGGCCGGTGGTTTTGGGGGTGAATCAACTAAGGACCTGAGCTCACTTCAGGTGGGACAGAGCTTGCTAAAGACTCACACATGGAGCCAGCCATGGTGGTGCAAGCCTGAAATCCCGCCAGACAAGAAGCCGAGGTAGGAGGATCACTGTGAGTTCAAAGTCAGCCTTGGCTACATCACAAGACCCTGTCTCAAAAAAACCAAAAGACTGGAAATGCACATGCTTGGGTAGTAGCTGAGCCCAGGCAGAGGGAAGTGTGGGTTTGGGTGTGGAAAGAGCGTGCGTCTCTGTCTATGCCCACTGTGTCCTGAGATGAGTGTCCCTGGTCCTGCCGGCTTGAGGGACCACCCACTGGTGGGAGGAGAGAGCCCCGTTTCCCCCAGGACTTGAGCATTGGGAGTCACGTCTCAGCCTGATGTTTGGGGACACAGCTTTGAGCAACAGTAGTTGACCTTGGTCCTTCCTGTCGAGTGCTTTGACCAGGGTTTGCTTTCACCCTGGCAAAACTGCACAAATAAATAAATAGTAGAAAACAATTCTAGATAAATGACTAGGCCTGCAAGAACAAAAATCTTGGTTTTTTGATCATGCCATTGAAGTAACAAGTCCTTGACTGGAATGTTGGGGCAGAACTGGGCATAGTAAGAGGATGGGGTATTTGGAATGGGTCGCCCCTAGGTGCTCCTTGATTTGCAAGTTGTGCACAGGGGCCAAAGGACAGGTGTCTGGATGGACGCTTGTGTATGAGGAGGGCTGGGGAGTCTGTCGGGAAG